TAATATCACTTGTTAAGACTTTGTAACATAAAAAATCAAAACATACTCCAAAAATATTAGAGCTATCTCATAATCTGTTAGTGAGGGGTTGGCGTGCGTTGCGTGCATTGGGTTTATGCCCCACTTGTATATATATTTACTTGGAGATTACTATACACACTCATACACTGTAGTACTTACCGTTATTTATACACGTATAGATCATTGTGAATATGTATGCACAGTAATACACGTCGTCATTCATATACATACAGATGAATATACACACGTATACACTGCAGTGTACCATATACGGTGGCTTAGATTTATATACACATGCTATCACAGACACGTTTATTCAATTGCTCACTTTGTTTTTCTGGCTCTCCTCACTTGATCTCGATACGTTTTTCTTAGCTCTCTTACGCATAACTCCATTAACACTAGGATCAACACCCTATCAAAAATGTGCAGAGTGGGGTTCTAACGGTAAGAAACGTAATTTCAGTACTTATCCGGGGGCTTAGAGGATCATTGAGCACAATTATGCAGTTGGTAATGGCCTCGAAAGCACCTAGGGCTCAGGATGGCTGTAAAAAACGTCTGATCTTAGAGTTTTGCTTCTTATTATAAAATATTAAGCGAATGTTCTTTCTCAGAGATTTCAAGGGTCACTGAATACGATTTTGTAGTTAACAATGGCCGTAGAGGTAACTTTAGCCTAATATTATCTAAGTTTTTCTCACTTTTTCTTAAAAAAAGTTGTGTTGATGAGATCTAACCTTATTGAGTCAGGGATGTGGATGGAATATATACCAAGTAGCCTGGCAGTACCATGTTTGCATGCTAAACAACTACGCTTTCTGCTGAATCAATGCTGAATCAACGTTTATTTAGGACAATAATAGAAATTAACCTAAAAACAATATTTTCTTGTGTCAATCTTGCAGTTCCAATTGCAATAAATTGTTTTTGAGCTTACAACCACGATTTTGTCATTTTAATAATAAGTCAACATAGATCTAACGCTCAATCAGCAACAATTGAACTTGCAATAAATGCAGAATTAATTATGTTATTTACAAAAGATTACAGTGTCAATGCAGCACTAATTTTTTTGATGGAAAAAAATAATTAAAAATAGTAGCTTGATTTGGCAGACAGTCTGGTCTTACAATATTCCGTTGTCACTGAATACGGCTGTACCGTACATAAAAAAGTCAGATGTGCTTAAAAATTTTGATTTCCACAACTAAAGAGGTAAAATATAGAAATGGATGAAATAAAATTATTTTTTATACAGCTGGAATAACTTGTAGATTACGACCTGAGGATGAACAAAGAATAACACTAGGAACAACTTTTAGAAAAACTGAGGAATCTCGAGATTTCTGTAGATTCGAAATATCTTTGTCATACTTTATCACGGTAAAGAGTTTAATTGGTATTTGGAAAATACCACGTGGTCAATAGAATTTATTAGCCTTATTATTTATTAACGAATGAATAATGAAATAATGTCACGGAGAAGTTCTATTTGCTTGAGGATCAAAATTTATTTTCTTATTAAAAATCTTCTAACGAAGACATATTGATATATTGCGAAAGTACAATACCCACCACAAAATTGCTAGTCCTTTTTTTTCTTACAAAAGTGTACATTACATACTAATGTATAGGTAATTTTTGTATTTAACAAAACCAGAAAAATTATCGTTTCATAGTTACTATAAGTTGACATGTATAATATTTTGAATGTTACCTGTTTGAAATTGTGTGACGAACTAAAAAATTTCAAACACAATAAAATTAATATATACCAGTCAAGCTGGTTGCAACTTTAAAGAATTTTTATTCTCAAAAAATATCACACAATAGCAACTATCTAAGTTGAAATATTCTACAGAGTAAAGAATTTTGAAATACCAAATTAAATATTCAAAAAGTAATGAGATCGATAAACAAAGGTCAAGTTTTTAACTACTACCTTCAATTCTCATCAGAATTATTGTAATACTCTGATACGTTGCATATTCTAATACATAAAATAAAATAGTGAACTTGTAAGTACTATCATGATTTTAAAGTACATCATAATAGGTAATTTAACTTTATAATATATAACCTAAAATATAACAGCAAGAGATGTCAATAACTTCCAAAACTATTAAGTTTGTACAACTTATTGGGCCAGCTAGAATCTCTTTTTTTGGTGAATAGTTAGAATTGAGTTGAAGTTTTCAAAATATTAACATGTTTCGTTAAGATAATGAAAATAAAGTATTACGAAGCTTAGTTATCTATTATAGGGTTCTTGTATATCATAATGATAATAATAAAAAGAGACTTCATTATTCTCTGATAAAATGTATAGCTGATTCAAAAATTGCTCAAATTGTTGTACAGATTTAGGGTAATAGTTATAGACTAGAATTTTTTTTGCTTATTACATCATCTTTGGAGTATTTCATCGATTTAAAAACACATTTTTTATTTTTCTAAATAATTTAACTAAAATATTTATTATTAATTAATTATNTATTAATTAATTATTCTTTATAAATATTGATTCTTTGTTAAGGCAACAAACTTAACTAATTTAAATTATCTGTCAATGTTTTCAATTCTTATTATTCATCTAATAGTCTTGAACAAGCTAGATTCAATGTGTAAAACGTAGTTAATAAGACATTGGGAATTATTGAGGTATCGTTATAAAAGTAACCTTACTGTATTATACACCATTAAACTACATTACTAGTTTTTTAGTCATGACTTTTATTTCGATAGGTGTAACTGGATTACATTGTGAGTCTTGTCATTATTATTTCTTGTTGGACAGATACAAAGCACATTAAGCTGACCTAACCTTTTATTTCAGGTTAACGTGAGTTTTAAATAAACTAAAAATGTTCTTCTTTATTTTTCCATTTTTTTATTTGAAAGCTAAATAAATTGTATTTTTTTCTAGGAATGTGACTTAAAAACTAGTTTATGCGACTAATCATAAGCTTTCTTCCACATATGTGCTTTATTTAAGGTCTATTTAGTATGTCCATTTACTTCTGGGATTTTCAGTATTTCGGGACACTTTTTTTAGTGCGAGCGTCCTTAATAATAAATTTTAACGTGACACTTCTACATAAGTCTTACGTTATTATGAATAACTCCTATACTATTTAATGACTTTAAAGTGTTTGAATTTCAAAAATTTTCTTAAATTTGATGATCAGATTGTTCTCTAACACCTTGCACAAACATCAAAATATTTCTCAATTTCTTTAAAAATTATTTTAACTCTCTATGATTTATTGCGATTAAACACTTTAGTTCTAGTACAGATGCAGTTACATTTATGAATATGTATGTCTTCTACTGCACTGATTGTTAATAATTATTAAAAAAAAAAAGATTAATGTAGAGAGAATGTGACTATTATTCCCGTATGTTTTCATTGAACATTTGTAAATGCACAAGCATATGTTCGTAAAAACTGTAAATTACTACGTTTTATGGTAAAATATTATTTTATGTCAATCTTATTCTTGTTTTTAAAAGCTTGCAAAGAAACATTATTGTGTAAAGATTTTACAGAATCAATCTCAAGTTTTTTTCTTACAAAAAAAGCGATGTAGATTCTTTTTACCACCTTCGTTACTGTTTCATGTTTTATTTTAAGGTGGCCATTTCATGTACAGGAGCTCTAAAATCGGCTTTTTTCGTTTTTTTCTCTTAATCTATTAATTTAATCCTAACATGTTTTATAAATATAACTTATGTTTAAGATAGTTATTCTTATGGTTAAATTCTATTTTACAACCTGGAATTTCTATAAGCATCTTACTTCTTAAAAATTATTTATTGTTTAGTACAGCTTAAAAAAATGGGAAAAAATCGTTTATTTATTAATAAGATAAATCATAACCAAAAATTATCACTGAATTTGGATCATTTAGTTCGTGAAGCTTACATCTCTTAGGTTTAAAAAATTTGTTTACTTCGTTTATTCTTAGAAGCTGAGTCTAACAAGTCATATGACATTACTTATTTTTTGGTAAAATAATATACTAAGCAGATTCAAGTTAACAAATTTTATTATTAAAACTGCACTTTGTCCGCACTTGCATACAAGTACTTTAAGAGTTCAAAACCATCTCTTTTACGACACTACAAAAAAATCATGTTTACTATTATCTTGTAACTTCTTAGATATTTAAACATTATGTTGTTAATATAGTTATCTCAAAATACATATAAATTGTTTGTCACCCACAAGTACCGAAAAAAATCTCAAAACACGAGTAACAAAAAATCTGAGAATTAACAAAGAATCAGAGGAATCCTACCAGCATTGCAGCTCATAGTTTTGATCCTTAAATATGGTTCACAAATAAAACAAAAAAATCTGCACCAAAATGACAGTAGAATCTTTGTTAACATTGTTAAAATTACTGTCTATTGTGTAAATATAACTATGTCAGTCTGAAGAAAAATGAAAATTATGTAAACAAAGTATCTTCGAACAATTAAGATAACATATAGTGCAGATATATGTATTAATCATAGAATCGTAAGAAACTATTTTCACTTCTAGAAATTGGGTAATTTATGTAAATGTTATTACTTTCGTACTTTTTCCCTATTACATTGAAGCTAAACATAATATCAGCCTACATTTTTGTGGTAAAGCGTCTAAAGTATATAAGACTACTCATAAACCTTCTAAAAAAGTTGTTAAAAAAGAACTTTCAGTCAATAATTCAGTATGAATTAAAAAAGTGACTTATATGGAACTATCTTTCAGGTGATTGAAAATACAAAATTGACTATGAATGCGAAGAAACTGCTAAGTAATGAAGAAGGAGGAGCAATGACCACCTTACTGCTGTAACAATCAGCAGAGACCATGAGTAACATCGAGTAAGCATAAATATACGTTATTCAGTATTCACTGTGCCTTCCAAAGGTGAATATCGTGACTGAAGGACGAGATTACGGGTGAAGAAAAAAATTGGGCGGAAAAAAAACTTTAATTTGAAGGCAAACTCTAATTGTTGCTTGTACAGTTGATAAGGTAGTATCATAGATAACATAAGTTACAGAAGAACTAGACATAACTTTATTATAGCCTCTTAAGTATATATAATATCCAGTTATGGTAAGCACATGTTTTTCACAAGCGCGGGAGGTTTTTGAATGCTAACTATTATTGTAAATTAACTACTTTAGTCAACTGTGTAAATATGCAAATCAATACGTGAACTACTTAATGAAATAAATGTTAAATATATAATTTTATTTTTAAAAACTACTCAGTAAAATTTTAAACTTAAGAACTTTGAATACCTCCTGTCTGTCATGTATCTTTCTTTGAGCATTGAAACGTTTATCTTCCCTTTTAAATGTTCACCTATAAATGTCATTCAAATAAAAAAGGGTCTTTTAACTTTCAAATTAATAGTCAATAAAGTAAACCAAGATATTTAGGATATTTATACACTCACACACGAGCGCACGTTCGTGTGATTGTATGTGTGTCAATGTGTGCATTCCTGTACACGCGCGCGCGCGCGTGTGTGTGTGTGTGTGTGTGTGTGTGTGTGTGTGTGTGTGTGTGTTAAACATAAATGTTTTTCTAGTACCACCATTGTATTATTCGCAAAACGTGTGAATATTGTACAGAAAAGTATATGCCAAAAAAAGGATATGGTTTTTTTTGGAACTTAATAAAATTTTAACACAAGGCATTTAATCTAAGCATGAATATTATTGTTAGTAAGAAAATACAAAAGATAAAAGTTGGATTCTCGCTGCTTTAATAAAATCGAATAATCTTATATATTTACCGACATTTTATGATTTTGCTTTAAAACAAAGCATGGATTTCTTTGGGAAGACTTGATTTCGTATTTTGATTTTGCCACTAACTACAAGAAATGTATGTTCTACAGTATTACGTAAGTAAATAAAAAAAATGTAAAGAAGTACAAAACGTTTAAGCCAAAGATTTCTTATATTGAGCTACATGAATCAGAATAAAAATGTTTCCTTAAAATTAAAAGTTTTGGCCTTGAGTAGGTGATAAAATGAATATCCTTTTCATAAATTTTGCACTTTATCATATAATTTTTATGCTAAACAACAGTAAAATTTTTTTAGGGTTGCTTCTTTGAAAATCTTCTAATATAAAGTAAAAAAAAAAAAACAATTTGCTTTAATTTAACTTACAATTCTTACTATATATTGCAATGTCCATGTTAACTTCAAAAACAATTTATCTTGTACATAAGAGTAAATATCTCGGCTTTGTTATAGTTGAATACTGACGTTCTTTTACGGCTTTAATTGTTTGAATGTTAAGATAAGTTTTTCTCTTTTAACGAATGAATTAGTAGTCAAAATAACTTCTATTTGTTCTTTTTGGATACGGTTTGAACTAAAAGTTTATAAGTCCAACAACTTACATTTTTTGTTTCTTCAACATCAATTTCAATCAATATCTTAATCATTCTTTTTCAAGACATCATATTTGACTGTTACTTTTTATTTGCGCTCGTGTTACACATATATAAACATCCTATGAACAGATTTTTAAAAGTACCTCTTAGGGTGCCTTAAAACTTTTAACTAATATACGAAAAAATTGAATGGAAATGAATCATAAGAACTTTCAAGAATTACTTTGTATATTATGATTTAATTATAGCTGTTTTTCTTTTTAATTTTTGTAGGCAATAACTTTGTTAAAAGCTTTTTGCTATTCATCATAATCTTAAGCTTTTTTACAAATAAATTCTAGTAGATATAATAGCCAATCATTATGCAACAGTTTTTATGACACTGAAAATGGACTAAAATTTTAATAGTAATTTTTTGAGATAACAATATATATATAGCTTTAGTCGTTAAAATGATAGCCAGACATTTATCTAGAAGTTTTCTTATTTACCATGTATGTTACTGTTTAGATCATGTTATTTAATGCAACCATGTACTGAATGTAAAAAAACTGAACTGAGTTATTTAAAAAGTAACTTTTGTTAAGAGACTATTTCCTCAATTGACTAGATTGGCTGTAGCAAACTATAGTATGGGCAAAGGTTTTAATGCGTTGTTAACATGTACATATAAGTTTAAACCCTGTTTTTTGCTTGTTTTTTCCTTTATCAGTAATTTTACATTTACTAAATGGTTATTCAAAGAACAGCAATGTAGTCCTTGTATATATTCTTCTTCTAAGGAACTAATATGATCTTAACCATGACGTTATTTATTGAGATATTAACAGATGAAGGGGCAAAAAATGCATAGACCCTTTAAATACCATGTTAAATGAAAAGGCTCATTTTCGTTAATAACTTACTTCCAAAGCTGTGAAAAGTCTTGAAATTCTATCTGGTGCTTTGTCTGGCTGTTATTTACCTACATTTTAAATACCATAGGAATCTTGACGTTATTTTACATATAAGAGGGATACTCCCTTAAGAAAAAAAAAAATTAAATTTTAAAATGTTTTTAGAATTTCACTTATTCTTTGAAATACTTAGCAAAATAACTAGGACCTAATAAAACATGTGGACACAAGAGATATGAAAATAATTTATAAGTACTTATAAATCATTATAACAGTAGTTAAAACCCTACCGTAGTAATGTAAATATATATTCAAAGTATGCTTTTTATTGATAGAAAAAAGAAGTTGCTTAAATTAATTGTTACTTAATAAGCTATGGTAATAACATAGTATAAGATTTAAAACCATTAAAAACGAGTAACTGTTACAATTCATTTAAAGTAAGAAAATGTATGAGCCTTAATGTTATATAACTTAAGTTACTGAAGTATACTAATAAATTGTTAATTATACTGATGTTAGGAGCACGTAATAGTGAGGATCAGTATTAAAAAGATCAATAAGAAAAACATCACTGATAAGAATCGGAAAATTATCTGAGATGACAAATGATTTTAGGTAAGTCTAACTTCCAAAAAAAACAGGATAACATTATATTTAGTAATAGTTTATGAGTTTTTTTTTTAATGTAAAAGGTTTCTAATATTAAGTTGTAAAAAAAACTTCAGATAATAAATAAACTTATAGAAATTTTTGTAGGTAAAAAGACAGTTATTTTATAAGGACTTTCTGTTAAATAAAATCTATGGTAATAATTATAAACTGTAGTCATGACAGAATTTCACTCATTCAGTCTTTAGGATGTACACTTAAGATACACTGAAAATTGGCTTGGTAGTACTTAAATTAATAAATTTTGTACACGGTAAGAAGTAACTAGATAACAGAAGAATATGTTGAATTATAACATTCAGCGATCCAAATAAAACATGATCCATGGCGATATCATAGATGTCTTGAAAGTCCCCAGTTGTAAAACAAATACAAATACAACCTTGAATTCTAGTAGTTCTACCTGTAGCCATAGTTAAATGGTAAAAAATATAAAAACTTTCTTAAATGGTATTCTTGGGTCTGAAATGAAATTCAACCTTGTATGAATAAAGGTTCATTTATTGAATTCAAAATTAGAAGACTTATGCCACACCTAAAATCAGTCTCATCGGTAATAGCTGCATCATACATACAAAGATCCAAACTTCGACTGTGAAAATAAGCGAGGAGCCAATAAGAGATATAATGGCTTACCTAGTTGAGTTCACAAAAAAAAGTGTTAATAAATAATTGAAGTTGAACCTCCTGAACAAGAGTAAATAGCAAAAGATTAATACAAAAACATTAATAAAGAATGGATAAAGGACCCCTTATAAGAATATATTTTCATAATACTACTGATCAGGAGTAACTGCCAGTAAGTGATGCTACACATAGGTCATGAAGATAAGCTTAAGCACTTGAACTGAAAATTAGTCGACAAAGTACATCGTAAAACTGTGCGACCTTATTTGTAAGGTAAATAATTCTTTATTATTTAATGACGGCTGACAATTGTAATGGAAATATTGCAGTAAGTTATCAGGGTATGAAAAAAACTTTTTAATTTCTTAAAAAAGGCACTTTATACTGAAATCAAGGTACAAGTCAATGATGACACTAGCAAACTGTTAATGTTATACTCAGAAGAATCTTAAAAAAGCGTCTTCTAAGGTGAATAATTGAAATAGAGTCCTTATGTCATAGTTTTCTGGACAAGAATAACTGTTCAACGTAAGCCTTTTTAACATCAATATTTAAAAACATATTAAAACTCTATCTGGGTCTCATTTTTTAATAAAACCCTAATATTTTTCTTATAAAACACGAAACAATGAAAAAATGAAGGTTTCTTGATGCCTTATCGGAATAGTATAGGTGTAAGGTAATGAATAGAGTTGGGAAATTTAAACTCTTATAAAATAGAAAAAAACTAATTTTTCAAAACCAAATAGTCGTTATACAGTGGAGCTGCCAGTATATAAGTATACGTAGCCTCTTATATGTCCACTGCCGCACTAAAGCTTATTCTACGTATTTTTACTTTCTACAGATTATGTTTATGGATGCGAGCCTGCAAAAGTTCTGAGTTAATTGTTACTAACGTACATAAGGAAAGAGAAAAATGTTAAATTTTTTGATCAAAAAATGTTTTATTTAGATTACTTTCTTACTTTACAACAAAAAGTAATTCTTGCATTTTTGTTGTATTGCTTAGATTTTGCAAAAAAAAAAGAAAAGTTAGAAAAATCATGAAATTTCATGAATTCTCGTGACGCGTTATTCATACCGCACAAATCTCTGAATATACACCATGTGCCATTGTTTTAAAATTATAATTTAAGTGTTTTAACGTTTTTAACACTAATGTATAGGGTGCGGGATCGTCATAATTCCAGGGAAACTATTATAAGCAATTTACATAATCAAAGCAAATAAATTACGACTTTAAGTAAAAAACAGTTTTTCGGGGTGCTTAGTTTATTTTAAGCAAAAAAGCATCTTATAATTTTTTGTTAAATGCTTAGATTTTGTAGAAAAAAATTTTTAATTTTATGAATTGTCTGTTTTTATTTTTTTCAATTTTTTCAATTTTTTCAGTTTTTCACGATTAAATTTTTGGGAAA